CAAAGTCAACAGCCTATTTTCTTTTAGTAAATCAACCCACAGTGCAGAGCAAGGCATGATATAGTTGATTTACTAAAGGCAAATAGGCTGCAAGGGAGGTTTTGCTTTGCAAGGGAATTTGCCCTACAGCCTAGTGAATGAGGTGAATTTTCACTTTGCGTAGAATACCCAATCACATGGAAGGAAAATAGAAATACAGCATTTTTGCCTGCACATGATTGGATGATGGAACTCAACAGATCTTCACCTCATTCACTAAGCTCTGGGAAAGTGAACAGTCTATTTGCTTTTAGTAAATCAACCCTGATACGTCAGGAGGCAACTCTAGTTTTAAAAAACTATTGGAAAATTAATAAATTGTTTACAAACGTTTGTTTAAAAGCTGTTTACATTTATTTTCAACATGAATTTGAAGAATTTGACCCACTTTTTGCCTATGTATTACCACGTGATTCAGCACTGTCAGTATACAAAAATATACATTGTACAAAGTATGGTGAACTTTTACATTTTGGAGCTGCCTCGTTTTTCTGTCCATCAATCAAGCCAGGCACCCCCATCTTTTGAGGAACATGGGAACTAAATCTCAGAGCTGCCTCCATTTTGCCCCAATAAAAATAGCAAATTGTTTTGAACAAAATAGGATATATAAGGGAAAAAATGAGCTGCCACCTTTTTGCTGCAAAAAGATCAAATGCATGGAGACCACAGGCAATGTTGGTAACGATGGTGTAATCCAGGGGTCTCCAAAGAAAGGTTCAGTTTATTGTACTTCAGACTTAAGTGGAACGACAGTGCCCAGTGGGACTACGAATGCTGATCTTTGGTATTAGGGGGAAAAATAGTTGGTGCCAGTAGAAGGAATAGTGCCCCATTGTTTGTGTCAGTGGAATGAATTATGCCCCACTGCTGGTGTCAGTGGAAGGAATAGTGTCCCATTGTTAGTGTCAGTGGAAGGAATTATGCCTCATTGCTGGTGTCAGTGGAAGGAATATAATCCCATTGTTGGTGTCAGTGGAAGGAATAGTATCCCATTGTTGGTGTCAGTGGGAGGAATAGTGCCCCATTGCTGGAGTCAGTGGAAGGAATTATGCCCTATTGTTGGTGCCAGGGGAAGTAATAGTGTCCCATTGTTGGTGTCAATGGGAGGAATAGTGCCCCATTGCTGGCGTCAGTGGAAGGAGTTATGCCCCATTGTTGATGCCAGGGGAAAGAATAGTGCCCCATTGTTGGTGTCAGTGGAAGGAATTATGCCCCATTGTTGGTGTCAGTGGAAGGAATTATGCCCCATTGTTGGTGTCAGTGGAAGGAATAATGCCTCAAGGGCTGGATAAAGGCAACCAAAGAGCCGCATCCAGCCCCAAGGCCGCAGTTTGGAGATAACTAGTATAGTCCTTTGCGTTCTGCTTGCCGTTATTGAGTACAGCTTCCACAGTATAGGTACTATTTAAAGGTTGCTTTTTAGCTGAATCATGTTTCATTATACATATAGTTTATAGTTACTCAGGTTGAAAAAATACACAAGTCCATCTAATATATAATATAATATATAAATAAAACCCCCATATACAGAACCTTATAATCACAGTTGACCCAGAGGTAGGCAAAAAAAAAAAAAACCTATAAAGCATAGACCAATTTACTCCTGCGGCAGGAAAAAAAACCCATCCTGCCATGAGTTGATAGTATAAATACACAGCAAATGTTCCTCTTTGAATTGGAGCAGAGGGACTTCAGAGGAAACGTAGACATGACAAAAATCATGATAATAGTACACAACTAACTGATGTTTGGAAACAATAAGGTAACTGATACAATGCCTTTACCCTGGCCTTATTAGGAATAAAGAAACAGAACACTTTAAGCAAGAAAAGAACCAAATGGTCAATTTCTTCTGCCAGTTTTCCTATCCCGCTGAAAAGCCCAGCTTTATTAAATCCTCCGTATTACAAAGTGATAAAACAATACAAGTTCTCTTGAACTGTAATACAATAAAAGCTTTACAAGCCCAAGAAACAATTGTCCAATAAACCAAATGTTTGGAATTGCTGTAAAAATTGTATCATGTTATTGTTCCAGATAATAAAAGTCTAAATTGCTGTGGAGTTATAATCAGCCATCAGTTTAAAAAAAAAAAAAGCTGCTTGAATATCACTGTGTATTCCACAGTCTTTGAGATTTATATTTATAAGCATTTGAGCATATGATTCTAAGGTTTCTTCTGCATACTGGGGAATATGAATGTTTGTGGAAAAGCTTGGGCTGTTCGCAATATTAGACAAAAGCTTTGTCACCAGCTAAGCAAGGATATTGTGTAAAGATTAAAAAAAATTGAAAATCAGACTAGAGCCTTACCTCTTTTTTTGGGAAAGAGGGTAAGCAGTACATGTATTACAAAAGATTCAGGGATTACGACTCCCCAAAAGCAAGCTTAGCTTTTACAAGATCTAGATTCTACAGCAGATTGCAAAGTGTAAATAAAATAATAGGTTTGTGATACACTCGAGTCACCCAGACTGTCAAAAAGCAGTTTAAAGTCAAAGATAAAAGCCAAAAATAATTTAAAATAATAATATAATAATAAAAAAATGCCTAAGGTGATTAAAAAAAACAAACAAAACTATATACCCCCCTTGTAAAAAAAAAAATGGGTACCATTCATATCTGTGCGACTTCAGGTCGTAAGGACTCCAAAGTAGTTCCTGCCCCACTTTGGTCCGACTTTCAATGCGACTTGAGGCTCATAGACTTCAATGTAAACCCTCCAAAGTTACATGAACATCACACCTGAATGTTGTACATGAGACTTGTGTACGACTTTGTACAGCAGAAACAATTATCCTTGGTCAAAGCCAAAGTCGCACTCATCCAATGTCGCGTCAAAGTCGTGTCACATCGCACTGTACAGTTGCAATGAAAATGTTTTAAGATTTTGATGTCTACAAGTGTGAATGGACCCTTAAAGTGGTTTTCCGGCCGCTCAGTGCTGATTGGCCCTGTGCTGATCACATGCAGCCTCCCAAAAAAAAACAAATTCTCTAGCAATACACACCAAACTGAGTATGTGCACGTGACTACGGATTCAGTCTGTATCAGGTGGGCATTTCAACAAGAGGAGGGACAGAGAAGAAAGGATCAAACAGCCTTTTTTACACAATGCAGAGGATTAACCCCTTAGGTTCCACAGTGAGTATAACAAGCATCTTAAAAGGGGAGACATTGGGAGGGTTAGTAAAAAACACAGTTCAGTCATGGAATTTGAACAGCCTCCCCCCCTAACCTCATGTGTGAGCAAGCCCTAAGTTTGGATTTCATATATCCATATAATAATAAAAATGATCTAGACAGTGCAATTCTGTGTCTACAAACACACTGGCTGTTTTGAATATTCTCTCTAATCCCTTTATTGCAGCTCCACCAAGTGCAGAGAATGCAACAATAAATTATACCAATGCTTGATTATATAAAACCAAGACTGAAAGACACAGGCTAATAAATCTGATTGTTTACTAAGCACTGCGGAAAGACTGTGCCAGCCAGTAAATAAAAAAATACATAATGGCGTGTTCCCCGATTAACTTCACTACTAAATCCACTACTGAATCAGGTTTGCTGATCGCTTGATTGTTAGATGTTGTGACCTACAATTTTATCTCCATATTTCATCACTGACAGATCACAATGGAGTTAATACAACATATTTATACGGCTAACGCAGCAAATTCCATATTTCTGCAGCCACTTTACCTGCCTGTTAAAGGAAGTCAATTAGTCCAGATATGTAAACATTATCACGTCAGCTGGATGGTGGAGCCGAACAGTGCCACTTTTAATGCATTTTCAATGTCTGAGGTTTACAAATTTAATTTATTGTCCGGCCTGACGCTTTCATTTCATTTTATGTTGAGAAACTGCAGGACATGCTCTCTTTCGACTGACTGATGTCTATAAATGAGGATGAGATGGTGCATCCTCAATAAAATTAAACCGGCTCCAAAAACCATTTTAAATATTGAATTGTGGCTTAAGGTGCTAAAACTGCAAATGTCTTTTCATATTAAAAAGCAGTGTCAATAGCTACATTTATTTTACTGGGAGATTTAATATCTATTAAATGACTTCATGTCAAATTCAGGAACTTGATTTAATCTGAACTCTAGATAAAAAGCGGATCTAAATAAATACACTGCTCAAAAAAATTAAAGACACACTTTGAAAACACATCAAATCTCAATGGGGAAAAATCTCCTGCTGGATATCTATACTGATACTGAAATGGACTGGGTAATATGTTAGCCACGTAAGGATGCCCCATCGTCGGCGAGCGTGGCAGCCATTCGATGGTATCAATTCCTTCATCCTCCAGGAACTTCCTGCAAACTCTCCCCACATGAGGCCGGGCATTGTCATGCACCAGGAGGAACCCAGACCTACTGCACCAGTGTCGGGTCTGACAATCGATCCAAGGATTTCATCCAATACCTAATGGTGGTCAGGGTGCCATTGTCTAGCCTGTTGAGGTCTGTGCGTCCCTCCATGGATATGCCTCCCCAGACCATCACTGACCCACCAGCAAAACAGTCATGTTGAACGATTTTACAGGCAGCATAACGTTCTTCACGGCTTCTCCAGACCCTTTCACATCTGTCACATGTGCTCAGGGTAAATCTGCAAAATGTCTTAGTATGCTGACCCCTTAAGAGTTTCCTTCACTGGAACTAAAAGTCCAAGCCCAACCCCTGAAAAACAACCCCACACCATAATCCCCCCTCCACCAAACTTTACACTTGACACAATGCAGTCAGGCAAGTACCCGTCCCCTGGCAAACACCAAACCCAGACATGCCCATCAGATTGCCAGACAGAGAAGCATGATTTGTCACTCCAGAGAACACGTCTCCAATGCTCTAGGGTCCAGTGGCGGCATGCTTTACACCACTGCATCTGATGCTTTGCATTGCATTGCACTTGGTGATGTAAGGCTTGGATGCAGTTTCTCGGCCATGGAAACCCATTCTATGAAGCTCTCTACACACTGTTGTTGTACTAATCCAAAGGCCACACATAGTTTGGAGGTCTTTAGCTATTGACTCTGCAGACAGTTGGCGACTTCTGTGCCCTGTGCCCTTCAGCATGTGCTGATCGCGCTCTGTCATTTTTCATGGCCAACCACTTCATAGCTGAGTTGCTGTTGTTCCCAGTTGCTACCACTTTGTTATAATACCACTAACAGTTGACCGTGGAATATTTAGTAGCAAGGAAATTTCACGGATGGACTTATTGCACAGGTGGCAACCTATCACGGTACCATGCCTGAATTCACTGAGCTTCCTTCACAAATGTTTGTAGAAGCAGTCTGCATGCCTAGGTGCTTGATTTTATACACCTGTGGCCATGGAGGTGGTTGGAACATCTGAATCCAATGATTTGGAGGGGTGTCCCAATACTTTTGGCAATAAAGTATATATATATACTGTATATATATGTATATATATATTATACGAGGAGCCGGGACTTTTAATTTTACAGATGTAAAAAGGGATGCTAGCGTGGCAGCATGACACACAGTAGCTGGGGTGGACTGACCATTTGGGAACTCGGGCACTGCCTGAGGGCCCGGGTGCAGTAGGGGGCCCCAGGAGATGCCCCTGGTACCTTTCATGGGCTTTTTTTGGGTGTGGTTTGAGTGTGGGCTAGAACACAGGGGCCCCCTGATCCCCTATTGCCAGGGGCCCCATGAGTTGTCAGTCCGCCCCTGCACAGTAGCAAGTGGCAAGTGTGTCCTATTACTGATAGATGGCAGACAACAATGTTAGTGCATGCATGGAACAGTGAGGCTTGGAGTGCATGCCAGCATTTCACAGTGAGATTGATGTTCTTATATTGGTTGCACAGAATATTTGAGCTTTCTAGAGAGCCATTGTTAGAAGGGGAGCTTGGAGATTCATAGTATGAAAGACTGCAGATGGGAATTCATACATCCCATTCGATTACCTAGTGTTATTTGACCACCTAAGAGCAGGTCAACACCTTTAGGTGAGTGGGAAATTCATCTATTACTCACGAGTGGTGGAGAAGAATTCACTGGATTTATGCGACACCCTCCTATGGGACTCTCATTCATTTCAAAGTTTTTTTGGACTTTATTATACCCTGTATTAGATAATTATTACACGTGGTGTTGGGGAGAGCACTTTATATACATACGTAATTCTATTCTTATGTTACATATTACTTATTTTATTGAGCAAGCGCCTATCTATTTATGGTTTGCTATTTAGAGTGTATATTCACTTAATAGGGGCAGCTGCCACTACTGCCTGATTATGGCAGAATTTACAATTCTGTTTTACTTGTGTTTAAGTATATATTCACTTTACGTTTCATAGGCGCAACAATATTGTTTTTTTTATTCATGGAACTGCGTGCGGTGATTCAATTTCTTGTGAATGAAGGTGTAAAACCCATGGATATCTACAGAAGACTTCAAGCACAGTACAGTGATGAGACACTCAGCCACAGTAAGACATTTGAATGGTGTAAAGTTTCAAAGATGGTCGTACATCTGTCAGTGACGATCCCGGCTGTGGTGGTTCCCAGCCCTCCTTCCAGTGAACATTCAGCATCTGTGATGCCGGATCCTGGATAATCGAAGCATAACCTATCGTGAAATTGAACCCCTAAAAGAGTTCCTTGGAGGTCAACATTTCAGGACTGATGATAAAGTGAAGCAGGCTGTCCGAGTTGGTTCAGAAGTACTGACAAATCTTTTTGTGCTGAAGCTTTCCAGGCATCAGTGAAATGCTAGGATAAGTGTGTAAATGTAGCAGGGGAGTATGTTAAAAAAATAAATGCAGTTTCCATTCTGAAAATAGTTTTTTTTATTATATAAACTCAAAAGTCCCAGTTTGACTTAAACGCCCCATATATACAGTTGTGTTCACAATAATAGCAGTCAGACATCACTAACCTGATCAATCGCTGTTTTTGGTAGAGATGATATTTCTACATGGCAAATAATTTACTAGCAGGTGTAGTAGAGTAATAGAAATACAACAGACCCCACAGTCATGACATGCATGCTGCTGATTCTGTGTAATTGAATCACTAATTGAAAGGGGCATGTTCAAAATAATAGCAGTGTGGAGTTCAATTAGTGAGGTCATTCATTCTTTGAAAAACAGGTGGCAATTATTGCCCTTATTTAAGGAAGGAAGGCAGCAAATATTGTATATGCTGGTTACAGTGCATTTCTCTCTGAAATTCTGAGGAAAATGGGTCGTTCCAGACATTGTTCAGAAGAACAGCGTACCTTGATTAAAAAGTTGATTGGAGAGGGGAAAACATATAAAGAAGTGCAGAAAATGATAGGCTGCTCAGCTAAAATGATCGCAAATGCTTTAAAATGGCAACCAAAACCTGAAAGACGTGGAAGAAAGCGAAAAACTACCATTCGAATGGATAGAAGAATAGCCAAAATGGCAAGGACTCAGCCAACAATCAGCTCCAGGAAGATCAAAGAAGGTGAGTACTGTTACAATTAGAAGACGCCTATGTGAAGCCAAGCTATCTGCAAGAAGCCCCCACAAAGTCCCACTGTTGAAAAAAAGACGTGTGCTGAAGAGGTTACAATTTGCTAAAGAGCACATTGACTGGCCTAAAGAGAAATGGCGCAACATTTTGTGGACCGATGAAAGTAAGATTGTTCTTTTTGGGTCTAGTGGCCGGAGACAGTTTGTCAGACAAACCCCAAACACTGAATTCAAGCCACAGTACACTGTGAAGACAGTGAAGCATGGTGGTGCAAGCATCATGATATGGGGATGTTTTTCTCATACTACGGTGTTGGGCCTATTTATCGCATACCAGGGATCATGGATCAGTTTGAATACATCAGAATACTTGAAGAGGTCATGCTGCCTTATGCTGAAGAGGAAATGCCCTTGAAATGGGGGTTCCAACAAGACAACGACCCCAAACACACCAGTAAACGTGCAACATCTTGGTTCCAGACCAACAAGATTGACGTTATGGAGTGGCCAGCCCAATCCCCGGATCTTAATCCAATAGAAAACTTGTGGGGTGACATCAAAAATGCAGTTTCTGAGGCAAAACCAAGAACTAGAGAAGAACTGTGGAATGTAGTCCAATCATCCTGGGCTGGAATACCTGTTCACAGGGGCCAGAAGTTGGTTGACTCCATACAACACAGATGTACAGCAGTTCTCAGAAACAGTGCTTATACAACTAAATATTCATTAAGTGATTCAAAGAAAAGCAAAATCTTCAAACATTTTTCAGTTTATATAGTGAATGTTTGAGTTTGTAAAGAAGAATACAAACACTGCTATTTTTTTGAACAGTCTAATATTCACTTTTCTTCAATTTTTTTTAGAGGAACAACACAAATTTGATATATTTTTCTTCATGTTTTGATTTGGAATAGAATGTGTAGTGTTCCCAATGCATTTGTGTGTATGGAAATAAAAGCTATTAGAAGAATTCTGAGCTTTATTCTCTTTTTTCAACACACTGCTATTATTTTGAACACAACTGTGTGTGTGTGCGCACATGCGCATGTGTATAAGCTGTTTACCTGACAAAAGATTTGTATTTTTAGTAATCCAGTTCAGAGATTTACAATGATCTGTTACACAGCATAGCAAAGTGTTCCCTGGTAGGGGAAGAGACCTGGACTTTCTATGACGCAGTTTCAATTTCAGTTACAGGTCTCCTCCCAACCCTGTGACTGGACTCCTTTCACACAGGTGGTTACAGGGTTCAAAAAACAGATGGTTGATCCACATTTTTACTGCCCCTCTGACTGCCCACCTACAATCTACATGATGTCACTCACAGCATATATAAAGAAAAAAAAGTGCAAAACCTCTGACCATAAAAATCACAATGAAAGCAAACAATAAAGTGATACAAATACTATCAGCATCAATAAATAAGACCATGAATATAGTGGAAAAATAAAAGTGTATTCAGTATAAATCAAACAATAATATAAAAGAAAAGAAAGTCCACTCCCAAAGGGATAAACAAGGCTCCGCTAGGGGGCCAATATAAACAATCTTGTGTGAAAATAAAAGTTCACACCCAAAATAATATTTGAGGGCTCCACTAGGGGGCCCGCAGTTCCATGGGTTTTAGTTCCAACTACCTCAAACAGATATATGAATTCCCTAGTGCAGGACACATCAAATGCAAATCACGCCAGATTATGGTAAGAACCTCCACGCCCACCAGGTTCTCCGCTGGCTGTCTGGAAAGTGAAATTCTCCGCAGTAAGATTCAGAGGAAAATACAAAGTAAAATCACAAAAAAATACCAATTTATTACATGCAAATATACTTACAAGCATCTCAGGGTAACAAAAGCTCAAAAACACCACGCTGTGGTACACCAGCATGTGTGATGACATCATAAGCCACTAGCCATTCCCTACGCGTTTCGTCTGTGCAAAGGACAATGTTAATACTGCATGCAGAGTTAAACAGGTGGCACTGTCTGAATGGGGCCACTCCACAACTGTGAGCCAAAAGTTTGGCAAAAATAAAACAGGCATCAAGAGGCATCAGTATTGCCTCTTGATAGCCTGCTAACCTCCACTGCAGCTATCCACCCATCGCAGAATGCAGTTCAGGGGAGCAGTGAATGATACTGCTAGTGTGGAAAGAGCCTTAAGGAGAAGTAGCAGATTGAAAAGCTCATCTCTCTTTTCCTCTGCTCTCTCCTCCTATCATGCCCTGTACCCTGCAAAGCACCTTGCTGGCACCTTATTCTGATTTTCCTTCCTCAAGTCTGAGCTCTGCTGTACAGGAACTCCAAGAGGCAAATACCAAGCCATTTTTTTATAAAGGTAAATATGAAACATTAAAAATGATGCTGTCCTCTTTCCAGACAGTACAAAAAAAATATAAACTGACACAAATAAGGATCAATTACAAATACGAAAAAGGAAAACTAAACACACATACAGAGAGCAAAATAATAACAGTAAAAATAATAATAATTTAAAAATATCAAAATAATAATAATAATAGAAAACAAGGAGATCACCTTTAACCTCCCTGGCGGTATTCCCGAGTGTAGCTCGGGGTAACATTTCAGTACCAAAAGCGGTAACCCCGAGCTACACTCGGGAATACCATGCGGCACTGCTCCGGCATTTGTTCTTCACCTACCTTACCCTGCGCTCCCGCGATGTGTCCCCTGCAGCGTCCCCGGCCATCTCCTCCGGCCGATGCCAGCATCCGGTTTCTGTGTCCTGTCCCTGTGACGTCGGGA